CCCCAAAACCCCAAAACCCCATCAACAATAAATTTGAAATTTAAATCAAAAATATAAAATGTTTATTCAATTATTCATAGAACTGTTGGCGGAATTAAACGATGTTTCTTTGGAGAATTGCTTGCAGCTATTTACCTTTGCTGCAAATTTTAAAGATGTTAGAGTTTCAAAAGCATTACATTGCAAGGGACTAATATTCACCATCATTAGAGTTTTAGAATCTCCTCCCATAAAGTTTTACAATAAATGAGTGAGCTTAGAATTCCTATAAGGTATATAACTATCCTTCTTGATAATAGCTGAGATCACATCTCCCAAACAACTTAGACTTTTGTTAATAGCTTAAGTTTCTTTAAGTCTTTCACCTTCTACCTTTGAGTCTTAAATTCTTTCACTGCCAGCTAAGTCTATTAGATTGAGGGCTCCATCAATTTAGAGTGAGTCAGTTCGCTTAGCTCTTATCTTAAGCTAGTATATACTGTGGCTTCTGGAAGAGCTTAAATTCATTGCAGTGGACCCAACTTTTCTATTTTCCTTAGCTTTCCTAAGTACGAACTCCACATCTGAATATGACTTGACTTCTATCTCAGTGGGCTTGAACTTTTAGTTGTTGGTCATGATTTGTGCTACCTCGTTTCCTGGGTTAAGTAAGTCTCTCACAGTCTCAATATGTATTTCAATGCAGCTTAGAGTAACTTAAATTAACTCCCAGTCCTTTGGATTGTATGAATCTAAGTGCTCAAATACCATTCTTACTGACCTTGATATCAAGCCCATATCCTCAAGAGATTGTCCTCCCTCCATTGTAAAGGTTTTGCCTGCTCCAGTTTGCCCGTATGCAAATATACACACTTTGAAGCCATCCAAAGCTGATTTCACTACTTCTTAAACCTCTTCAAACACACATTCCTGATTATCCTATGGATTGAATACTCGATCAAACTTGAACTTATGAGATTGATAATTGATTTGTGGCAGTTAGTTATTGCTATTAGAGTTAAAATTTTAGTTCATCATTGAGCTGCCACTCTATCCTTATATTCTAATTTCAACTGTCTACTCACTTTTCACCAATACAGTATTATCTTCAAGGGCTTGCAAATTCAGAGACTTCTCATTCTATTATTGTGATTGTAATTGCTATTAACTCTAGACATTCTGCTTTTAATTTTTATTCAAGTTAATTTTCAGTTCTTCGATTCTCTTCTTTGACTTTATTCCAAGATTTTATGTAGATGGAGCTATTGATGATCTATTGTATATCTAAAGATGATCCTCAGGTAGTACTGGTCTAACTCTGCAGAATACTCTTATGTTACCTTTAATCTCTAACCTTCTATTATGTAGATATTTTTGGTATTGAAAGAACAAATTTGCTTCTCTGGCTTTAAACCTCTCAATTCTATGATCATTTATCTTGATCAGAGCACTTTCAGTCTTCTTCTTCTCCTTCAAAACTTTGTTTAGATTGCTTTCTTTTTCTATTTCTTATTCCAATAGGCATTTTTCATTTTCTAATTTGACTAGTTCTTGAGTAACTTCTTAGAAATTCCTTTGTGACTCAGCTTTGCTGGTTTAAAGTTCTTTGAACTAATCCTAAAACCCAGCTATTTTTTTGCTTTTGTCCTAAGTTATATTACGGAATTCAGAGTACTGCAAGAGTGCTTGATATTTTTATTATTCGCTCTCAAGAATCAACTCTTACTTAAACTTCAAAAGCCTCTCAAACAAATATGATGAGATCATTTACTACTATTGATGATAAAATAGTCGTCAAGCAATTATTGAACCACACAGAATCTGCTGCAAATATACACTCTTCATTTTAGGTATAAGATTAGTCTAGTAATCTTTTATGACAATTTCAAATTCATTTTATTTAGGTTCATCTTATTTTAAGGTTATTTGCTTCTTGAGAGGTGGCTCTGATTTGCTTTAAAGCAGTAAAGGATTCTAAGCTGTAAGCTTGAAACGATTGGGTTAGGGGTTTATGTTTTCTTTATTATCCATTTAATTATCCTTGCTGTTTTTTGAAATTAATTTAAATTTTGATTAGTATAGTTTTTAAATAATATCAGTTTGAATTTAAAATCAAGAAATTAAAATAAAGTAAATCAACGAATATAAACTTAATAGATGGCATGTATCAAATGAATTAGCCAGTTGTATTTTTCTGTTTTCTGAGTTAGTTAAATGCTTTCTCAATCTACTCCTTAGCGGTGCAACTTCTCTCCTTCAATTTGCGAGGCTCAACAATAGGTTTGGGTTTTTCGATAAAGTCAAAGTTGGAACTTGTCATAATGATCTAACCAGTGGGGTTTCTCTTGATCAATTCCTCTTCAGCATTTCCCATATCCATGCGGCTTCCAATCTGCTTGATCTTCTCTCTCAGGTCTCTCTGCTTTCTCTCGTGATAGCCGTCCTCATCGTATTTGTAACTCAACTTGTAGACTATAGCTTGCCATCTCTGAATGATGGTCAATGCTCGATTTGCCAGATGTGGATAGCCACAGAGATTTTTAGCATAGAGTGACAGCACCTTAGCGATCTTACTTTGCTCTAAATGCTGACTCTCTATTGGTAGATTCTCAAGAATGGTGTAAACTAGTTCAATGACTTGTACTAATGGATAGCTGCCGTCTGGGTTTTCTGAGATCCAATCAGAAAGTACCTTGATGCCACCTTAAGCTAGAAATTCATGTTGAACCATCTTCTTCCTCAGTTCCTCATCAACCTCACGAATCAAACACAGTCTTGAGATGGCTGGTTATTAGCTCATAATAGCATAATGATCCTCTTGTACTACTTTCTTCATCTTAGCAATCAAGTAAGCAGTGTGTTGCTCCATCTCTTACTTCAAACTCTCCTCTTGGGATTTCTTGTTCTTGTTTTTCTCAGACTTTTTCCTCAGGTTTGGGAACATCTGCTCCAGCACACTATGATTATGAGAGTTTAGCTTTCCACTAAACATGTTGAGTCCTGAAGAGGGCGCAATCATTTTGGTCTCTTCATTTTAATTAATGAGCTGGCTGGGGTTAAGTCTCTGTCTTGGATCATTTCTTGTAGTAGTATCAATTAGTTGTGAGCCTAAAGGAATTAGTGTTTCTACGAAATTACTTTATTGGTAGCTGGTTAGATCACTTGATTTCTGCATTAGTTAATTAATTATATCCAAATTTACTAATCAATCTTGTCAAATGGGGTTTTGGGGTTTTGGGGTTTTGGGG